ATTTCTATTAACTTTTGAAGGTTTACAGCAGTTAAAGTATTTTTGATTCTATGTATGAAGGTTAAAAAAATCATTTTTTTTTTCATAAAATACAAGAGCAACCAATTTCACCATCGAGTAAAAGTAAAAACTGGGATTCTTTTTTAAATTAGTCCAAAGTGGCATTTTAGGAACTTAGTTGTATGCTGCTGTGCTGACACCATGACAAACCAAAGTGTAGGGGTGGGTCTGGTTTTGTTTCGGTTTTCTTTTCAATATCCAATGCTCATGGATTAAGTTCTGGAAATGTTCCAATTGTAAGGCAGGGATCTGTTTGGATTCCACCATGGGTATGCTCCTTGGGTTGGATGCTGGAGGGTGAGGCATGTTTTGCCGGACCCATGTCGACTACCTAGTAGTCATCAAGGTCAAAAAATTCATCATCTCCTCCTTGGTATTCCATTCCCTGGAAATCTACTCGGTACCGCAAGATACCTCCAATTCCACCAAATCCTTTCACAAACTGGGATCCTTCTTGTGACTTATCTGTGACAATTTCCAACGTAGCTCCAAATTTTTTATAGTTGTTAGCAAACCATTCCAGCAGGGGCATGCTCTCAATCAGCTCATGTTCTTGTCCTGTCTCTTTGTCTGTGAAATGAGATTTATCCTTCTCTTGTTCTGGAGTTAGATAGAGAATTTTCTCCTCTTCTGTGCCTTAGCAATGAAGAACATATCTCATTATATCCAGATTTTCATAGACTATTAGAATCTCTACAGCTCCCATTTCTAAAGCCTTTAGTGTATCTTCAACTCCAAAACAGTACTTGCCCGTGTCCTGGCCGATTTCATCAAAGTATCGTCCTATTAATTTCTTCTCTTGAATGAATTTCACGTTGGAGAGAACTTCAGTAGATAACTCAATAGCTTGGTTGAATCCATTTTCACCACCATAGGAAATATCAACTAATTTTAAAACTTTTGATTGCAACCTCTGATCAAACATATCAGATTGACTTAGTTCAGTTTTAAAGTCAGCTGATCCAGCTAAAACAAGACCAGCCACATTCACTTTGTCCCCAGAAATAAACAGCTGTACAGCAGTCTCAGCTACTTTCCGAACATAGTTATGTCGCTTTTCCATTCTTAAACGAGCAAAACGCAAGGCTGATTGACCTCCTCTACCATGTTTCTTTGGGAGATCCACAGTGAATTTGTGCAGGACTTCTCTCGTGTTCCCTTGGAGTGTGCCAAAAAGTGCACCACTACCATCTATTACAATGAAGCCAAACTTGCTGTCATCTGAAAGTAGTTCTGTCAGAGCCTCTGTATGGAATTTGTTGTCACACAAATACAATGACGTATTAATTGGTTTGAAAGGTTCAAAGTCAATGTTGACTTTCTTTTCTTTTCCTTCTTCTGTAACAATTGTACCACAGTAAACAACCAGGCCATTTGGAGGTACTTTGTTATAAAGTTTGAGTCTTTGTTGTACAGACGTAATGGCTCCCAGGACTGAAAGGCGGTTTACTCGTGACTTAATGTTAGATGCAGTTCTAAACTCATCTGCTAACATTTTTGCCACTCATGAAATCTGGTCTTTGGAAGGAATGATCAATGATATCATGCTTGTGCCACTGCCGTGGGCCGCCTCCAAGCTCTTGACGAGCTTCTTGATCTTCCAGATCTCCACGTTCCTGTCGGCAGCACTGGGGTCGTCCGCCATCTTCTCGCCTCCTCCCCGCTAGTATCTTTATAATCGTCATTCTGAACTCTAGTTCCGACATCTTAGTAATGTCTGTATTGATTAGGTCCCTGGCAGTTGGTACTGCCTCTTGTTCTTTTTTTTGAGGTGAGTTTTTCTGTCTTGTCATTTTGTCCAGAAGAGAATAGATGAATGAGAGAACAAAATGCTAACAGGGTAACAACAACCACAGAAAAATATACACTAAACAAATCAGAAGAGACCTTTTTCTCATGCGCCGGACGTCTGTGCCACAGGGACCGCTGCCGGCGACAGGGTGGGGGGCGAGGGGAGATGACCAGGATGGGTTCCCACAGGCTCCGGTGGCCCCTGGGCCTCGGCGCCCCCCAGCGCCGCGCCTCCAGCCACCTGCTCACCAGGCTGCGCTCCCAGCTCCAGCCAGTGATTCATTAGTCTTATATAACAGGCAGTGCTCATTACATCACATGCCCTCCTTAATGCCCATCACCCAGTTACCCCATTTTCCCAACCCCCTCCCCTCCAGCAACCCTCAGTTTGTTTCCTATGGTTAAGAGTCTCTTATGGTTTGTTTCCCTCTCTGATTTCATCTTGTTTTATTTTCCCCTCCTTTCCTCTATGCTCCTCTGAAGAAACTCTTTCTAATACAGCAATATAGGCAAGTGGAAAGTAAGGATCAAAAATATGTATCATGCAAATATTAATCAAAAAAACCACACCAAGGGTGCCTGGGTGGCTCAGTCAGTTAAGCATCTGCCTTGGGCTCAGGTCATGATCCTCCTGGATGGAGCCCCAAGTGGGGCTTCCTGCTCAGTGGGGATCCTGCTTCTCCCTCTCCCTCTGCCCCTCCCCCCACTCGTGTTCTCTCTCGCTTGCTCTGCTCTCTCTCAAATAAATAAATAAATAATCTTAAAAGAACAAACCAAAACAGAAGGACTGTATTAATATCATATAAAGTAAACTTCAGGGCGCCTGGGTGGCTCAGTTGGTTAAGTGACTGCCTTCGGCTCAGGTCATAATCCTGGAGTCCCTGGATCGAGTCCCACATCGGGCTCCCTGCTGGGCAGGGAGTCTGCTTCTCCCTCTGACCCTCCCGACCCTCCCCCCTCTCAGGTGCTCTCTCTCTCAGTCTCTCTCTCTCAAATAAATAAATAAAATCTTTAAAAAAAAGAAGTAAACTTCAGAGCAAAGAAAATTACTAGGGACAGAGAGGTACATTACATAATACCAAAACAAACAAACAAACAAAATAACAAAATAAAAATACCCAACAAGAACACTTAGAAATCCTAAATGGGGGGTATCTGGGTGGCTCAGTCAGTTAAGCCTCTGACTCTTGATTTTTGGCTCAGGTCATGATCTTAGGGTCGTGAGAATCAAACACTGCATTGGTCTCCACACTCAGGTGGGGTGTCTGCTTGACATTCTCTCCCTCTGCCGCTCCGCGCCTCCCCGCTCTCACTCTCTAAAATAAATAAATAAATCTAAAAAAAAATCCTAAATGGATATGCACCAAACAACAGAGTTACAAAATATGTGAAGTGAATTGATAGAACTGAAAGACAAATTCACAAATAGAATTGGAGACTTCAATATCCCTCTCTCAATAATTGGTAGAACACCTACACAGAAAATCAGAAGGATATAGAACAACTCAACAATACCAAAATAGGATCTAATTAACACTTGTAGAACTCCACCCAGCATCAGTAGAATACACATGCTTTTCAAATGCCTATGGAACATGTACCAGAATAGTCCATATCCTGGGCCGTAAAAAAAAACCCTCAACAAATGTAAGAGAATTGAAATCATATAGAGTAAGCTCTCCAAAGTTCTCTGAGAAAGATATCAGGTAGATCTCTAAACACTTGGAAACTACACAGCACACTTCTAAAAACTCAAGAGTAAAAGGGGGGTATCTGGCTGGCTCAGTCGGTAGAGCATGCAACTCTTGATTTTGGGGTCATGAGTTCAAGCTCCATGCTGGGTATAGAGATTACAAAAAATGAAAAAACAAAAAAATCTCAATGGGTAAAAGAAAGTCTCGGCGAATTTTTTTTTTAAACATGAAAGTGGAGGCACCCGTGTGGCTCAGTCGGTTAAGCGTCTGCCTCTAGTTCAGGTCATGATCTCAGGGTCCTAGGATAGAGCCCCACATTGGGCTCCCTGCTCAGCCGGGAGTCTGCTTCTCCCTCTGCCCCTCCACCTGCTCGTTCTCTCTCTCTCTCTCAAATAAATAAAATCTTTTAAAAAGAAGAAAATGAAATATAATATATAAAAAGTTATGGGACACAGCAAAAGCAGTGCTGAGAGTGAAAGTTATACACTAAATGCATACACTGGAAAAGAGGAGAAATCTCAAATCAATAACCTAAGGTCCTACTTCAAGAAGATAGAAAGAGAAGAACAAAATGAACCCCAGTGAATAGAAGGAAGGAAATAATAAAGATAAGAGCAGAAATTGGAAACAAAAACAATAGAGAAAAATCAAGGAAAAAAGAGCTGGTTCTTTGAAAAGATGACTAAAATTGACAAACCTCTAGCAAGATTGATCAAGGGAAAAAGAGAGAATAGACAAATCACCAACATCAGGAATGAAACAAAGGATATCTCTACAGACACCACAGACATCAAAAAGATAATAAGGAAATTCTATAAACACAAAACACATAAATTTGACAACTTAGATAAAATGGACCAATTCCTCAAAAGACAAAAATTACTACAACTCACCCAATATGAAGTGGATCATTTGAATAGCATGATAAAGATAAAGAAGACTGAATTTGTGATTTTTTAAAACTTCCAAAAAAGAGATTTCTGGGCCCAGATAATTTCACTGGAAAATTCCACCAAATTTTTAAAGAATTAATACAATTATATACTCTCTTCCCTGAAGAGAAGAAAAAGAAATATGTCCCAATTCATTTTATGAAGTTAGTATTACCCTGATATCAAAATCAGATAAAGGTTGTATCAAATATACATGTATATTTATACATACATATGAACTATATACATACCTATATAAACTATAGACCACCAGTCCTCATAAATATAGACAGAAAAGTCTTTAATAAAATATTAGCAAATAGAATTCAGCAATATGAAAAGAATTATAAGTATGACCAATCAGATTTTATTTCAGAGATGCAAAGCTAGTTCAACATTCAAAAATTCATCATTGTAGTCCACCATATTGACAGGCTAAAGAAGAAAAAATCGTAATTATATCAATCAATGCAGAAAAGCATTTGATAAAATTAACACCCACTTATGATAAAAACTCTCAGAAAAATCGGAAGAAAGAGGAACTTCCTCAACTTAAAATAAAGAATGTCTACCAAAAACCTATAGCTAACATTATACTTAATGGTGAAAGACTATTTTTCTTGGAATCAAGATCACGGCAAAGATGCCCAGTCTCATCGCTCTTGTTCAACATAGTACTGGAAGTTCTAGCCAATGCAAAAAGGCAAGAAAATGAAATAAGAGGCATGCAGATTGGAAAAGAAAAAATAAAACTGTTCCTATTTTCAGATGACATGATTATCTACTTTGAAAAACCCAAAGACTCTACAAAAAGAAAAGAAAAAAAAAGGGAAGGGAAGGGAAGGGAAGGAAAGGTGGGTGCCTGGGTGGCTCAGTGGGTTTAGCGTCTGCCTTTGGCTCGGGTTGTGATCCCAGGATCCTGGGATCAAGGCCCGCGTCGGGCTCTCTGCTCGGCGAGGAGCCTTCTTCTCTCTCTCCCTCTGCCTGCCGCTCTGCCTACTTGTGCTCTCTCTCTGTCAAATAAATAAATAAAATCTCAAAAAAAAAAAAAGGAAAAGAAGGAAGGAAGGGAGGGAGGGAAGGAGGAAGGAAGGAAGATAAAGAAAGGAAGGAAGAAAGAAAAGCTCTTAGAACTAGTAAGTGAGCCCAGCAAGGTCACAGGATACAATGTAAACATACCCCCCCCATAGATTTCTATGTACCAACAATGAAAATGTGGACATTAAAATTAAAAATACAATCACTCAAAAATTTATGTGTAAATCTAACAAAACATGTACAGAACTTGTATGCTAAAAACTCTAAAATCCTGATGAAAGAAATCAAAGAAAATCTAAAGAAATGGAGAGACATGCCATATTCATGGTTGGAAAACTCAACATACGAAGCTATCAATTCTCCCCAAATTGATTTACAGATTTAATGTAATTCCTATCAAAATCCCAACCAGAGCTTTTATTGATATAGACAAGATTCTTCTAAAATGTATGTAAAATGTATTCTAATGGAATTAGAATAGTGAAAATAATTTTGAGAAAAAGAATAAAGTATATCTTGTTCAGTTTGGGCTACTATAACAAAATACTGTACACTGGATGGCTTATGAATAATAAGAATTTATTTCTGACAGTTCTGGAAGCTGGAAGTCTGAGATCAGGGCACCAGTGTGGTTGGGTTCTGGTGAGAGCCCTCTTCCAGACTGCATTTTGCCAACTTATCATTGTATCCCCATGTGGTGTATAGATGATGAGAGGGCTCTTCGGGGTCTTTTTATAAGAGCGCTAATCTCATTCATGAGGGCTTCACCCTCATGGCCTAATTACCTTCCAAAGCTCCCACCTCCTAATACCCTCACATTGGGGGATAGGACTTCAACCAAAGAATTTTGAGAGGACATAAACATTTAGTCCATTGCAAAGTGAGAGGAATCATTTACCCAATTTCAAGACTTCTTATATACTATAGTAATCAAGAGTGTGTGGTACTAATAGAGGGAAAGACACATATCAATGAAAAAAATAGAGAACCTCAAAATATATCGACACAAATATCACGAAGTTATTTTTGACAAAGGTGCAAAAGCAATTCAATAGAGGAAAGATGGCCTTTTCAACAAATGGTGTTGTAGCAATTGGATACCCACAAAACAAAACAAAACAACAAAAACACCTCAATCTAATTCTCATACTTTATATAAAAATTAACTTAAAATGGATAATAGACTTAAACAGAAAATGTGAAAC